ATTCTAATGGAGTAGGGGTAGACAACATGGAAACAACATTATTCATACAAGATACATAGAATTATATGAAAAAATCTCAGAGAGAAAGTACTAGCAGTGAGTGGATTGGGACATGACCTAATATAAAGTTCCAACAAAAGGATACTAAGAAGAAACAATCAGATTGGTAAGAGGAGAACCAGGAGAGCAGCATCATAATCCATAGAAGAGAGACTCTCCAGGACTAGAGGGTGGTCATGAGCATCAAATAAGGGAGATAGAGAAGGATAAGGACTAAGGAAAGATGATCAGGTCTGTTGATTAAGAGATCACTGGTAACATTAAAGAGATCAATTTGAATGATGAAGGCAGAAGGTTGATTGCAAATGATTGAGAAGTGACTGAGAAGAGAGAAAGTAGAGGTACCTAGTATAGACAATTTTCTCAAGGCATTCAATCAAGGAGGGGAGGAGAGATAGAGGATGATAGCTAATGGAGATCATTGAATCAAGTAAGGGCTTTTTAAGGATAGAGGAGACATGAACATTTTTATAGGCAGCAGAGAAGAGAACCAGTAGATTAGGAAAGAGTAAAGATTAGAAAGGGGGTGGAGATGACAGTAATGGCAACCTGCTGGAAAATAAATGAGGAAATTGGATGAGGGATGCATGTAGAAGGGTTTGTCTTGGTAAGGAAAAGTGCTACTTCATTGTGTTAGGCAAGGGTGAAGAAGGAGATCATGGGGGAAATGTTTGAGTGATGGGATATGAGGAGGAGGACTGAAAAGGAAGCTTTTTGCAAATGGCCTTAATTTTTTAGGTGACCTATGAAGTGAGGACTTTAAATGAGGGGGTGAAAGGAAGAAATGCCTAGGGAGGCATGAGAAGGGATGAGAAGGTTTATAATAGTCACTGTAGTGAATGGGATATTGTATCAATCAGGGAGGTGTAAAAGGATTCCCTGTTGAAATTAGTGAGCATTTGAGATTATGTAACATAAATTTGTAGCGGACCCAGTTAGTATGGATTCTCTCTCTCTCTCTCTCATATATATGTGTGTGTGTGTGAGTGTGTGTGTGTGTGTGTGTGTGTATACACATACATACACACACACACATATATGTGTGTGTATTTATGTACGTACGTATATGTATGTGTATGGGTATATGTATGTATATGTAAACATATCCATTCAACAACATTTAAATAAAAGGAAATGAGTCAGATTCCAGTGCTTTGGAATTCCAGATTGAGATTTGGCAATGTGGTCTGTGACAGGATGAGAGGGTGAGAAATTCTTAGAGGAGAGGATAGTATAGAGTTGAGTTGGTTTGCCAAGGAACAGATAAAGAAAGGAGGAGAAAGTAGCCAGAGCCAGGTTGATGGCCATGTCACTTGATGATCAGGTAAAGGAATTAGGAATGTTTAGCTTGGTGAAGAAAAGATTCATGGAGGAAGCAATTACTCTCTTCAGATAATTTAAAGGGCTCTCATGCTCCCTTCCCTATTTAATGCTAGGGGATGGGACAGGGAGCAAATGAGTTCAGTTTGGGACAGGTTGAGTTTGCTGTGTCAATGGAACATCCATGTAGAAATCCCTGATGAATAGTTAAAAGTGTGGGGCTGCAGTCTGGGGACAGATCAGCACTGATGATTGAGATATGGGATATTGAGATATTGAGATAGCACTCAGGAATGACATGAATAAAGATGATCATTGGAACTGTCAGTTTGTCAATGGAGAAAGCATAAAAATAAGGAGAAGAGAGCTGAAGTAAGCCTTTGGTGAAAGGGAGAAATGCTCACATTTTGGGGAAGGGGAAAAAAAGGAGAAAGATCCAGAGTCAGTGTTCTTTCTTCTATAGCAGGTTCTTTCCTTCTCCCTAGCAATGTATTGGTGAAAAAAGGAAAAGCCCTCAATGATCAGTTAAGGAACCTGGATTCTATTCCTAGCTTTAGCACTAGCTGTATGCCATTAGGCACATCACTCAACCTCTCTGGGTCTTGATTTCCTTAGCCATAAAATGAGTATAATAATACTTTCATGTAATTCATAGGCTAGAAAGCATGTAGAAAGCTACATGGAAAGTAATTTGTAAGTCTTAAAATGTTACAGAAGCATAAACTATTCTTATTAACATTATTTTGTTTTCTCCTTTCCTGCCACCTGACTTATACTGTACTTGTGAATCCTCAAAACTTGTGGGAGGGTAGCTCTTTTTGTGCCTCCTTTTGTTTGTTATGATGCCATCATTTATTATATAGGATGGGTTTCTTTTTATACCCAAGGATGTCTTTAGTTAAGTGCAATTGAAAGAAGAAAGTTTTTCATTCCTTGCCAAGGCTTACATAGCTGGGGACTCTGAGTCTAGAGCAGAGGCTCTTAACTAGGTGGATAGATTTCAGTGGGCCTATGAACTTGGACTGGGGAGGATTACATCTTTATTTTCACTAACCTCTGGTTTCCTTTATATCCCATGTTTTCATTTTATGCATTTAAAAGCATTATTCTGATTATGGCCCCACCAACTTTACCATACTACCAAAGGGGTCCGTGACACCCCAAAAGGTTAAGAACATCTGATCTAGGGGGCAGCTACATGTTGCAGTGGATAGAGCACCGGCCCTGAAGTCAGGAGGACCTGAGGTCAAAGCTGGCCTCAGACCAAACACTTGACACTTACTAGCTGTGTGACCCTGGGTAAGTCACTTAACTCCAATTGCCTTAAAAAACAAATCAAAAAAAAAGGAACATCTGATCTAATCACTCTTTCTCATGACAACCCTTCAAATATAATGATGATGATGATGGTGCTAGCTAGCATTCATATGGCACTTTAAGGTTTGCAAAGTGCTTTACATATATTGTCTCATTTGATGCTTACATAACAATTTTGTATTGTCTATAAAGTAGGGACAGTTATACCCATTTTTTGGATGAGTGAACTGAGGCTGAGTATTTAAGTGATTTACCCAGGATCACACTGTTAGTAAGTGTCTGAGGGAAGATTTGAACTCAAATCTTCCTGAGTCCAAAGTTTCACGTTCTATTCACTATGCCAACTAAAGAGAGCTCTCCTATCTTAGCAAAGATAAGTTATCAGAGTAATTGTTACTTTTAGAGAGCAAGGTCTTGGGGCAAAAGGCCATCAACATAGTGTTTTCATCTCACAAATGAAGAAATTAGATCAAGGTTCCTTCCCACTCTAAAATACTATGATTTCATGCATGTGGTTGACTCTGGGAAGAATTATGAAGCAGATGCATTGCATATTCAGTGCCCTCCCCATCACTACGCCAGGTGCCTATGCTCCTGGTCATCCAGCAGTACCCACACAGGCCTCTTATCTTTGGAGAATATACCAAACATTTACCTGTCTTTCCCTCCTATCAAAACTTACCATGTGAAGTCCATATCTTTTTGGAGACAGACAATATTTTTCAGGCCATAATGAGTAGCACTGAACTTAGAATCAAAGCCTAAGTTCAAATACCTCAGATACCAGTTAGCTCTGTGACTTTCTGATCCTGTCTTGCCTCTAGTTTTCTCATCTGTAAAATGAAGGTAACAATAGCACCTACCTCACAGGATTGTTGTGAGGTTCAAATAAAATAATATATGTGTATGTATAGCACCTTGCAAAACTTAAAGTGCTAAATGAATAAAATAAATGAGTTATTATGATGATTATAATTATTATGGCACATCTAGTCCATCTCTTTCATTTTCTAGATGAGTGAGCCTAGGTCAACATACTACATCTCTTGGCACCCTCTCTAAACCAGGCTAGTCCTTCCCTCATGCTTCACTGACACACAGGGCAAGGAGAAATTAGCATTCCCCCTTTTCCTTTTCTGACATTTTTGGACCCTACCTCTGTTACCATCTATCCTTTAACATTAATTTCATCCTGTTTAAAGCCTTATTGCTGTCATCTATGGACCTTTTAATTACTCTTCCCCCCAAATTACTCTCCTTCTTTCCCAACAATTTGAATATGCATCTCTCCTTAAGCTCTCTATGAACTACCTGGACTCCCGGCTTTTCAGGATTAAAATTTCCAGGATCACTTCCGTATCCAGTTTACATTTGCCCTGCAAAGGAGTAATCACTCCTATATCAGCATCTCCCATACCCCATATTCCTAGTTACAGTTTATCATAGCTTTTCTTACAGCTTTTTAGTAAACTAAACTGTCATGGAATTACTGTTACCATCATTAGCAATCTCTCTCCCCAACTCCAGGGCTGTCTCCAAAATGGAAAGTTATTAATAGTGGAAAATTTGTACCTGTATTCAGGGGCATATTGGTAAATGTTTAACAATCAGTTCTCCAGGAAAGTTTAATCTGCATTATTAACACTTTTTCCATCACTTTCTTAAGTCTAGACAATTAATAAAGTAATAAATCAAGGCCCAGTTTGTATGTTGATTTCTGAGGCTCAGACTGAAAATTTAACAATTGGATCTTATGATCCATCTCCAGAATTCTGCTTCATATCTTCAATCTGAATCTCAATCTCATTTTTCCACATAGGATTGAGGGGCTATAAAATGCCTCTTTTTATAAAGCAAAGGTTCTCATTAAGTTTAAATAAAGGATGGCAACTCATATTTTACAGAATTTTTAAGTTCAAAAAGCACTTTTTCAGAGCATTCCTAAGAGCTAGTGCTAGAGTGACTAGTCTAGTGACTAGAGAGCTTTAAAGTTTACAGAGCATTTCAGTTATGTCATTTGAGTCTCATGACAGCCCTGTGGGGTGGATATTGCATGTATTATTATTTTCATTTTGTGGATAAGGAAACGAAGGCTCAGAGAGATTGAGGATGCCCATGATCATATATCTAATAAGTGTGTGCCAGGAGTGGGATTCAAACCCAAACCTCTCCTAACTCCAAGTCCAAAGCATGTTCCGGTATCATCAGCGTTTTTAGGATGATAAAATCGAGACATTCAAAGGCAAAGTGATTTGCTCAGAATGTTTAAACTCTGCTTAATCCTTTCCCATCCTTCTCCACAGATTCCTGTTATGGGAGGGGCCTTTATGGATTCACCAAATGAAGACTTTAGTACTGAATACTCCTTGTTTAGCTCATCGGCCAATGTCCACACAGCCACTTCGGGGCCAAACCAACTGGAAGACCCACCTCGTTCTTCCAATGATGCCATCTTATTATGGATTGCCATAATAGCCACCATTGGGAATATCGTGGTGGTAGGCGTTGTCTATGCCTTCACCTTCTGAGTAACACAAAGATTGAACAGCTGATGAGCATGAGGCCTGACCCTGCTAAGTGGAAGGAGTGCTGGTAATCATGTGTGAAGCAGAATCCTGCTGGTATGGACAGCCAGTAATTGTGTGTGCTTCTTCTCCCTATCCTTGTAGATAGAATTAGGCCCTGCTATGCCAAGATACTGGTTGGCTCATCATTTAGTTTTCACCAAGGTCTAGAAATGAAAGTTGACAAATAGGGCCAGCCTTCAGTTTTTTACATAGTCCTTTCAAAGCCTGATGGTATAAACTTGAATAGTGCTAAAAATTTGAAAATTTGGTTTGGTTTTGACAGGCAACTGCTATGCCTTCTAAAGGCTCAAGGTTCATTTGGAAAACTAGGGGAAACAAATTAACTTGTACATTTTTCCTGCTTTTTTTTCCCTTCCAGCTGGATTTTCTGTTTTTTTTGTGGGTGAAGGGAAGAAACTTGGGAAATGAGTACTGTATGATTAAGTTAATTAAGTACAGTTATGTAGTATTCAAATACTAATATTTTTTATGATAGAAATAAAGATGTTTTCTATCTCCTTCTGAAAAATTAGATATTGTTGTAACCAGATACTACCTTAGATTTGATGTTGTCCAAACCCTTCATTTTCCAAATTAGAAAAATGAGGTGCATACAGGGATTGCCTAAGGTCACATAGCTAATCAACAGTAGAACAGAGAACAGAACCCAGGTTTCCTGGTTCCTCAGTCACTGCTGTTTCCATTCCCTGGTTTCTCTTTTAGGAAAGGAGAAATGGTCCTTGATAAGCTCATTCAGGGATACTTAAAACTCTTCTACATAAAAGAACAGACAGCCCCACTGGCTACATTTCAAAGTTTGAAATGATCATGATATGATTTGATATCTCTTGAATATACTTTTGCATGCCTCGTTTTATTTTCAACTTCCTTCTGGAATCATGCTAGATAAGACAATTCCTGGGTAAAAGAACAGGTCAATAATTGCTGAAAGCAGAATCTCTCCCACTGAGGTTCAAATCAAAGAGTCCTCCTATTCCTTCCATAGAAATGCTGCTGCCCCCAACAGCCTCAAATCACATTCAGCACCCTGGGAAATGGAAAATGAAGGGGGAGGGGAGCCTCTTTCCAGGAACCTAGAGTTCTTTCTTTCATTATAATAGGAGGGGCTACTATAAGTCTGTTCTGTGGGTATTGTTTATGATTAAGAAAATTAAAACAGTCTTCTGCCCTTGGGGGTTTCAATTGTTATTACAGAAAGCTTAAATTTGCCCAGGCCATCATCCAGGAGAATGAATGATTTTTAGGACAGAGAAAGGAACAGCCTAATTTTCTGAGTGACACCATTAAGGGATTGCTATTGAGAAACTATGGCAACAGAATTATCAGTCTGTCTGTGCCTGCAGATTGGCTCCGAAAGGGAATTGGTTGTATCTCTGTTTTACAGCTGGACATCTAAGATTGTCAATATTCAAGTGGAAGTCTCTGAAAGTTTGCTAAGCATGGCTCATGTTATTGTTGTACTCTAAGCACCAGAACATCACCTTTGTATGAAGAAAGAAGATTTGGTAGGCCAGTTGGGACTCCAGCTTTATATAGCTATGGCTGTGCAATATTCTCTGGATTTGTGTTTTGGCTATATTTTCTTATTGTTTTTTTAAAGATGATTTCAGGCCTGTCCACTCCTATAAGGGAAGGCTTTCCTGAGCACTGAAGCCTTTCTTGTAAGGATCATTTAATTTATCAGCAAGTACTTAATGTCTCCTGCTTCTCAGGCATTGTACTAGGCACTGTGTATGCAAAGACAAAAATAATTAAAAATGAGACAGTCTCTGCTTTCTAGAAGCCCTTTTGATCACTGCAGGCTTGGAGAGATAGTGCAAGTTGCTAATACTCAGGAGAGGTAGTGTCTTGAGACTGTGGAAAACCTCTCTGAGCTCTATAAACATTTGTCATTGGCTTGGTTTCCCATTCCTCAGGATCACAGAATCTTAGACTTAGAAGGAGTTGAAGAGTCCATCTCATTCAACTCCCACCCAAGGCATGAATACCATTTATAGTATCTCCAGCAAGTATTCATCTAGCAATCTGCTAGAATTCCATTTGGCCTGAAGGTCTCTTGGAGTCCAAACTGGGTGGGAGAAAGGGAAATCAGATAAAGAGGGAGAAAGAGAAAAGGAAGCAATGTGTAGCTCATAACTTTTGGAGGACAACACCACTCCCTTAATTATGGTTTTCTTCTGTCTTCTTAATCTCTTCTAGGTATTGAGGATCCCTAGGATTTGGGGAACAGATATTAATAAAATTCAATTCCATATATGATTCCACTATTTTCAAATTCATATTTAATCCCTTCTATTTCCTCAAGTAGACAGATAAAATAAAGATGGTAGTTGTATAATAATAATAATAGTAATAATTATAACTGACATTTATATGAAACCTTAAGATTTGCAAGGAATTTTATATGTATTTCATTTGATCCTCACAACAATTCTGTGAGGTAGGTGCTATTATTATTATCAGTGACCAATTAATGAGAAAAGAAAGCGAGGTGTGATTTTCAGCACATTTAACCAAAGTAAGTTAGAATTAGGCTATTAAGAGTCAGATGATTTCATTAGCTTAGCCGGTCACCTTTTGGCTGATAAAACTTGACCTGTTTCAGCCAGAGAAAGTAGATTCCTAGTTCAACTGGCCCTCCATTTTTAAAAGGCTAAGCTACCAAGTGATCAGCAAAGGTCTTCAAAACCATGAGGTCCATGCAGCTCTGAGTTTAGGTAATTTAGAAAATAGTTTGTGGATCGTGGCCTAAACTAGGACTGGGCATGTCATTAGCAGCTAATAAACATTAACTCCAAAGGGCAGAATAGGGCAAATGAGTGAAATTTCAAAGGACCCTATGACTTATAGCTATAAGACATCTTAGAAATCACCTAATCTTACCCCATAATTTTCCAGGGAGTAAACTGAAGCTTAGGGAAGTCAATTGGTTTGTTTAAGTTCATACAGGTAGTAAGCAGAATCAGAATTTGAGCCCAGATCCAGTGATTCCAAATTCATTATTCTTGGGTAGGCAGATTTAGATTCAATATGATGAAGGACTTTCTAATAATCAGAGATATGCAGCAGCACTATGGGATACACTAGAATAGATAATGAGTTCCCCATCACTGAATATTCAGTTCCATTCAAGAACCATTTATTAAATATTTATGGTGTGTAGGCATTGTGGTAGACACTTGAGAAACAAAAATGAAAAGTTAAGTCCCTTCCCTCACATTCAATTGGAAGGTTATACCATATGTACACAGATAAGTAAGTATGAAGCAATTGGAGGATGGGTTCAGGGAAAAATTGAAACAACTGGGAAAATTAGGAAAGACCCCAGTAAGAGGTGGTACCTGAGCTGAGCCTTGAAGGTAGTAAGAAGTACCAAGAATAAAAGATGAAGAGGGAGAGCATTCTCTACAAAAGCATGGAAGTGATTCATGTTTAAATATTAAGGATATTATAGAGAAGATTCACTCACCAAATGAACCTTAAGTTCTTTTAAACTTTGAGATTTTTATCTTGAAACACAAGATTATTTATAGGATTGTAGATCCTCAAATAAGATGATAGATTCCCAAATCCTTTATCTCTCCTCAAAGCTTGGGTGTTTCAGACATATGGGTTTCTTCCTTCACTTCCAGTTAGAGAATATTGACTGCCAGAGTCCTCCATGGATTATACTAAACCCTAAGAACTCATGAAGGTAACTCTAGTCATTAGGGCATTTTCCTGGTCTTTCCTACCTTACCACCAGTGCTATACATGGGGTAGATTGCCCCATGTTTCATAAGATTCCCTCATTGGACAGTCCTACAAATCTTATAATCCCAGTTTCTAAGGTGACCTTTTCTCCTATTCCAAAAGGAATATTTTTAACATTATATTCTTCACACCACTCTTGCATATGGACTATGGAAGAATAAATGTGTGGGCATGTTTTTCTTTGTAGGTTCAGGTGATTGATTCCAAACAGTCACTAGCCATCTTAGAATCATAACACTCTGAAATCTCTGAACTTGAAGGGACATCAAAGGTCATTTAGTCTAACTTTCTACTCATATTATTAATCATTTCCAACAAGTGATCATCTAACTTAAATGATGGTGAACTCACAACTCTTTGTGGCAGCTCATTCCATTTTTGTTAACTCCAATCACCAGGAAGTTTTTATTTATGTTGAATCTAAAGTGAACTCCATCTCTTCTACGCACAATTCACAGAGTGAGAGCAAAGAGGTATTGTATTCCCACTACCAGACTTGGCAATGATCATGGACAGGAGACCATCAATAGAAGAGGCAACAAGAATTTATTTGACTATAATCTCATGATCTAGAGTACTTTTTTATTTTCTGAATTCTCAAAATGCGCAAAAATGGTGAAATGACAGTTTCTGGGCTTTATATTGACCCCTTTCTGCAATATGTACCCACTGAATATTCATTCTTATTACCCTGTTTCCCTTCCAATTAAGGGCCTGCAGACATCTATCTTTTAACCACATTTGCTGGAATTGTTTCAATTTTTTAACTTTTCATTAGCATTTTCATCATAATAATGAGAAGTAGCCTCTTCTATCTTACTCAACAATCTGTTATCTTTATTGAGGTGTCCTTTGTCTTCATGTCTCAACTTTTGAAAACCATCTGGAGGGTTTGCTTGATACCTTTAGCTTAGAGCAGGAGTTCTTAACCTTGTTTGTGTCATGGCCCTTTTGGGCAATCTGGTGAAGCTGATGGACCTCATTTCAGAATAGTGCATTTTTAAAGAATCTCATAATTGAAGGAAATGCTAAATTTCAGTGAAAAGTTAATTAAAATGAAGATTAAATTGTTTTCCCATCTCAATTCACAGACCGTCGAAATCTGTCCATGCTTGCAGTCTAAGACCACTCCTTACTCCCACACATACACCTCCCAGTCTAGAGAAACGTGCACACCAGGATGGTGGTAATTCAGTATAATGGTGTGTTGACTATTTCCTTCTGGACAGTGGGGGAAACTTCAAGAAATCACTGAGGTCAGCACCCTGCCTCCAGGCAGATGGTTATCTCTTCTCATCCAGGGACCCCCTGGGGAGCTCTATTACCAATTAGCTGGGCTGGCATCTGGCCATTTTCAAAATAAGTTTTAAATGAACTCCTTGGAAGACAGCCAGACCACTTTAGCATAGGATCCCTCTGCAAGAGGTTCATTAGATACAGCCCCTATATTATAGCAGTCTCTGTTGTCT